AATGGGTTATACCCATTTGCATTTGCAGTAGTGGAGTCTGAAAGCAAAGAAAGTTGGACGTGTTTTTTGGAACATCTACACAAAATCACTGGTGACACATGTGGGAATTTGGCTTGGGTAATAATGACTGATGGTCAAAAAGGAATACTTCCAGCTGTGGATAAGGTATATCCTCATGCTCTTAATAGAAGGTGTTGCAGGCATATTTATGCTAACTTTAGAACATTATATCCTGGTGTTAAGTATAGAAAATTATTTTGGATGGCAGCTAGGGCTCATAGAGAGTTGGAATTCAATAATGCTATGGCAAAGATACAAAATAATTGTCCAGAAGCATGGCAGTGGTTGATGAACCATCCACTTAAAACATGGGCAAGGCATAGGTTTGATGAGAGACAGAAGTGTGATTTTCTGACAAATAATGCAGTTAAGTCATTAAACTCATGGCTTAAGAAGGTGAGGGCAAAACCTATAACTGCTATGTTTGAGGGTATAAGAACTAAGCTTATGAGCAAATTCTCTAAAAGATTTCAGAAATCTGCTACTTGGGATAATTTTGCAATCCCAAAAATCAGAATCAAGTTGAATTTAGTTATTGAAAAGGCAGAAACATGTCAATTGATTTGGCCAGGTGGTGACTTCTATGAGGTAACAGAGGAAAATACCTTCAAATGTATTGTCAATCTTCAGAGCAGAACTTGTTGTTGCAGGGAGTGGCAACTCACTGGTGTGCCATGTAAGCATGCAACAATATGTATTACATGGAGAAGAGAGAATATTGAGGAGTATTGTCACGAATTCTTCAGTAGGTACACTTATGTGAAAGCTTACAAAAATATTATATATCCCATGCACCATGAGACTTTATGGGATGAAGTATCTAAGAAGGATTTGCTTCCTCCAATTCTAAAAAGGCCTGCAGGAAGACCTAGAGTGCAAAGAAAGAGGGAAGCTGATGAACCACGGGCTAGTAAGAGGTCTACCATTATTCATTGTAGCATATGCATAGGTACTGGACACAACAAAAGGGGTTGTCAAAGGGCTCCAGTTCAAAGCAAATGATCAAGGAAAAGAAAACAAGGGTCAGCATCAACTTCAACAACAACTTCAAGAAAAGGAAGGAGAGGAAAGAAAAGTGAAGGAGCAAGGACAAGGAGTCAAGCCGCAGCAGCAACAGTAGCACAGGTAATCCTTGCTTATTTTAAATTCGTTTAATTTCCTTTAAAAAAAAGTCAAATTTTTTAAAAATCAAATCCAATTTTTTTTTACAGGTAATCCTTTTTATTTTAAATTCGTTTAATTTCCTTTAAAAAAAGTCAAAATTTTTAAATATTAAATCCAATTTTTTTTCCAAATAATCCTTGATTGTTTTAAATTCGTTTAATTTCCTTTAAAAAAAGTCAATTTTTTTTTTTAAAATCAAATCCAATTTTTTTTTCCTTTTCAAAATTCTCTCATTTTTCTTTCCTTTTTAAATTTTTTGTTAACTATTTTTTCTTTCTTAAATTACTCATTGGTTGACATATTATTTTGAGTAATTTTTCTTCTTTTGTCTCTTGTTTTATAGAATCTTTATTTATTGTCGTGATTATTAATTTGCACTTGTTTGATTTGCCATATTATTTTGAGTAATTTTTCTTCTTTTGCATTTGTTTAATATGCCATAGTTATTTTTTAATGTACACTTGCAATTGTAGATCAGTGGTTATGCACAACTCACTCAGTCTAGTAGAGTTGTAGGCACATCAGCACCACCACAAGCCAGCCAATCCACCCAATCCAATGTAAGCACTTATTTGATTTGCATTTGTTTTTCTCACTGTAAATATCTTACTTCAGTTCCGATGTTATTTCTAAATGGATGGATTTTTTTGTTCTATTTTTGTAGGTTACAAATTATGCACAACCCATACAGTCAAGCATATTAGCATCAACTACACCACCCACTCAGTCCAATAGAACCTCAACAAGTGATGGAGTATTTGGTCCACCCTGGTACTAGGATTTGGCAATCAACAACATGTTTTTTGGGAGTTAGGTAACGTTTATGTTTTTGTAAATGCCACATATGACACATAAAAGAACACGAGTTGGGTTGTTTTTTTGTTTATTGGGTAACACTGGAAAGTTAGTTTTTGTTTGCACAATTGTTTTATTGCACATGCATTTGTTACTAATTGCATAACATAGTTGCTAACTGCACCTCAAAGTTGGTTAATTTTTGGTGTCAAATGATGGATATGTAATGACTGTAATGCTACTTTATTCAGGTTAAGATTTTATTAATGTTAAATGATGGTTATGTAATGGGCTACTGAATTACTTGCAAATTTTTTTTTTTTTTTTTTTCCTGGTGCAAAGCTTTTGTTGTTACAATGTTACAAAGGACAACAGAAGTACTTACCAATTTTATTTTATTTTATTTATTTATTTATTTTTGGTGCAAAACTTTGTACTTAAAATGAAACAAATCTTCCACTTGCCATTTTCTGTATTATTTCTCTTTTATTTCACTATTTGTATTTTGACATGTATATATATATGGCAAGATTCATTACAAGTACCATCAATATTAAAGGTAGGTTATATATAGCAAGTTCCATTATATATAGCAAAATCCGTTGTAATTAACCTTGTCAATATGGTAGTTATGCCTGTGAGAATTTTTGGCACCAAATCAGTAGTTTTGGCAGTTATGGACTTTTTTTTTTCCCCATCAAATGGTAATAAGGGTAGTTTGGTCCAATTAATTCAAATGAAAAGTAATAAAGGTCCACAAACAAGTCAAAGGGCAAATTGGTCCATTTTTCGTCTGTCAGGCGTGCTAGATGGTGTCAGGGGGTGTTTTGTCGACTTTATCAAATTTTAAGGGGTCTCATTGTTCAAAAAAGGGCAAACTTATATATGCCTATCAATACGGCAAACCTCAGGGGGTGTCATTGTAATTAACCCAAGATTTTATGAAACAGAAAAGAAAAAAAGAACAACATAAATTAGGGTAAAATAGGGCATGTAAACATGGAATTTTTGGCTTCTAACTTGTATATGAGAATAAGAATAGGAATAATAGAAGGAAAACAAGAGGAATGAATGATTTTACAAAAGAGAAAAGAGAAAACAAACAACACAGATTAGGGCATCATGTAAACATAGAATGATAAAAATAAAGAAAGAAAAAAAAAGAGGAAAAGAAAATATAAGAGAAATATGATACCAGAGGGTACGATCGAGAATCTCTTTCTACTCATTCAGTCACTTGGTTGCTTGATCTCCCTTTATCGTCGCTTCGCTGGATCTCTTTCTCTCTTCGCCTCACTCTTGATTCTCTTTCTCTATTCACTTCACTCCAGATCTATTGTATATTGACCGTATAATCAAAACTATGGGTGGGTCTAAGATATTATTTGAGAGGTACTAATATATTGGCTACTACATAATATGATTATGCAACCTATTGATCTAACGGTACATAATCACTGATAAAAAATCTAATGGTGTATAATTAATACACACACATATATATAATATTAATATAAATATATTATTATTATATATATAAATTTAATTCGGATTGGATCGGTAAAATCCATATCCGATTTGTTAAGCAAACGGGTTATTGGATTCGGATCATAAAAGGATTATCGGATTTTTTGTTGAATCCATATCTGCTTAATCGAATCGGATTCGGATTGGATTCGGATCAGAATCCGATCCATTGACAGGTTTAGATGCAGCATATCAGTTAAGATCTCTCATTTGCTTTTCGTGAATGACGCTCTGGTTTTTTATGAGGCAGAGGTGTCCTAATTGAGATATTTGAGACATGTACTGGTTTGCTTTTAGGCTGTTTCTGGGTTGAAGGTTAATGTGGGAAAGAGTGTGCTTGTCCTTGTAGGGGAGGTTTAGGAGGTTGATTCTCTTGCAGCTGTTTTAGGGTGTGGGACGAGCTCCTTCCCTATTTCTTAGTTGGGCTTGCCGCTGGGTGTCTCGTCAAGGAGGGTGGGAAGTTGGGACCCAGTGATTGAGCTTTTCGAGAAAAGGTTGGCTGGGTGGAAAAAACAATATCTTTCGAAGGGAGGAAAAGTTACTTTGGTGAAGAGCACTTTATTCAATCTTCCAACTTATTTTCTTTCGCTTTTCCAGATCCCCTCTTCTATTGTTGGAAGACTTGAGATGCTTCAACGAAACTTCCTATGGGGCAGTCGGGGGGAGGAGTTTAAATTTCATCTTGTCCGGTGAGAGTAGGTTTGCAGGCCTTTAAGTTAGGGGAGATTGGCCCCCTTTAACAGAGCACTCCTAGGCAAGTGGTTATGGAGATTCAGCAATGAAAGACATAAATTATGGAGGAAGGTTGTTTCATGTCTGTTTGGGGAGGAGAGAGGGGGATGGGCAGCTAGGCCGGTCAGATCTGCTGTCGGCGTGGGGGTGTGGAAATCCATTGGGAAGGGTTAGGATGAGTTCTCTAAGTATATTAGATTCAGAGTTCGGGAGAAAAAGATGTTCATTTTTGGGAGGATCCTTGGTGCGAGGACCGTCCTTTATCTTGTTTGTTCCCAAGGTTGTTTAAGATTGCTGTTGATAAACATGTTTTGGTTGCTGACTGCTATCGTTTTGATAGCGATAGGTTGTTTTGGGATGTGCAGTTCCGGCGATTCTTTCAGGATTGGGAGTTGGATGACATCACTGGTTTGCTGGACCTTTTGTATAGACATGAGTTGGATGACACTGGTTCGGATTCCTCGACTTGGGTGCTTTCTTCGCAGGGGACTTTTCAGGTCTGGTCCTTCTTTTTCTATCTTTCAGGTTTCATGGTACCACTTTCCCGTGGAAAACGATTTGGCAATCGAAGGCTCCTCTTAGGGTGGCCTTTTTTGTGTGGACTGCTGCTTGGGGTAAGATCTTGACTAACAATTTGAGAAAGAGAAGACAAGTCATTGTCAACCAGTGTTGTCTGTGTCTGAATGATGGAGAGTCTGTGGATCACCTCCTCTTGCATTGTCCTATGGCTCATGACTGTTGGAGTCTTATTTTGGGTCTTTTTGGCGTCCAGTGGGTTATGCCACGGACCTCAAGGGACTTGATTGATATTTAGAAGGGCCAAAGGGATAGAGCACATGTTCGCGATTTTTGGAAGGTGACCCCCTTCTTTTGATGGGGAGGAAATCTCCATTGGGGTGTTGAAGTTTTCTATTATTTGTTTTCTTTTTAGTTGGAGTATGGGGAGAGATTGTATATCCTTAGATGAGATCATGGACTTTTTGGGGCCTTTGGGCCAATAGGTTTTCCCCTTTCCCTTTTTATCGATTTTTTGTATAACTCTTGGGATGCGTTCCCCTATTGAATGCTTTCTAATACATTTTTACTTAAAAAAAAAAAATTAGATCCACTTAATTTTTTTGTTCTAATTTTTTTTTTTTTTTTTTTTTTTTGTACTTAAACCCTTTAATTAATATGTCTATAATTAGTATGCGATGTTTGTTTGTGAGGCTCTCTCAGGACACTTTATAATCATTACATGAGGTTCATTCTCTTCTTCTGTACAAGCAATAATCAATTTGTATTTTACTTATTCTACTTTTAAATGTTATTAGATTCTCTATCGTTTTTTTAAAGAAACTGTTATCTATTACCAAGTCACATACTTTGAAAGAAACTGTTGTCTATTACTAAGTCATATGGTCTAAAGCATTTAGGCTCTCCAAAACCATACCCTCCATGGATTCGTGTATATCCTATCCTATCAACACCTACATGTCCATTGAAATCACCGCCTACAAATATACCTTCACGACGAAGCATAGATTGTATCAATTCCTCTAATGAGTTCCAAAAGAGTTTCTTTGCAGTGCCGTCTAATACTCCTTGAGGAGCGTACGCACTTATCATTTTCAAGATATGTTCATTTTGAACATCTTTTTCAAAAATATTTTTAATTTGATTTTTTTCATTTTTATTCCATAAGAGTAAATTATGTAACTTTACTGCTAATGCTCAAAACTAAATGATGGAAATGGGGTTATTTGTAAATCTGATATAATTCAGCTAGTTCTTTAAAGAATATAGGGAATTATTTTCAAATGTAAATAAGTAAAATAAAGAACATATCAGAATCAAAATTATGATAAATGACGAAAATAATTGACATGCACTCGCAAAAACGCTCATATATTGACTAAAATCTATCATTTAACTTTAGAAGAACTTACATCATATTTCTTAGTCCTGAGCTCCAATGTCAATCCGTGAGCTGGATTAGATAATTCTTCAAGCAAAATCTCTTTTAACTCCGTTAAGAAGAACAGCCCAACAAAGTCCGTCAAGGTTCAGATCAGAAGACATAACCTGTGGTTCAGGAGGAAGACTTTTCTGCACCGGTGATACCGGTGTCATCGACCCGTAAAAATGCATTTACTTCAGTGAGTTCTATCAATACATGTCAACATTTAATCAGTCGGTCATACAATTATGTCATCAATATTACAGGAGCATTAAAGTATTGAGATACTCGTATTCTCTCCTGAAAAGAGGAGCCTGCCAAGTCCAAGCCCTGGAAAATCAAGACAAATGGAATCCTCATACATCAAGGTTAAGATTTTTGCTGATCGTGTTAAATTTCATGTATCAGGTCATGAGGAACTCCGTTTTTCTTTCATATGAAGAAAAAATCAAAGTAATTTCGTGTGAATCTTCAACATTGATCGGACAGAGAAGGCCAAATTGATAGAAACAAAAGAGTATTGTATGGAAAATGTGAAATTTTGTTTCTTACCAATGCTAGCATATCTTTCTTCATCTAAATTTCCTGCCTGAGCTCCAAAAGGTCTGGGACATATTCAGATGATTTTAATGACTTCATCAACCCTCTCAACACACCAAATATCTCCTCTGTCTTGTGATGCCTATCGTCCAAGGAATAGAATTCAACGACACTATTATCAACCTCAATCAAGCTACATCCTGGCAATTTCTGAAACCCAGTATCCCTCGTTGCAACTTTTAATCGTGCCACGTCTCCCCATCTTCGGGCATGCCCATAAATATTTGAAAGCATGACATAATTTGCAGGGTTTTTTGGTTCAAGTTCAGTGAGCCGTTGAAGAGCCAGTTCAGCCAATTCAATGTTTTTGTAGATCCTGCATGCCCCAAGTAAAACAGTCCAAATAACACTATCTGCTTGCATAGGCATCTTCCTAATGAAATCCACGGCTTGGTCTAAAAGGCCAGCTCGAGCCAAAAGATCAACCATACAACCATAATGCTCAATCTGAGGCATGATCAAATATTCATCAATCATTGAATGAAAGTAGTAAAATCCATCATCAACTAGACCCAAATGAGAACAAGCACATAAAATGCCTACAAAAGTGATTCCATCTGGTTTCTCTCCGGCACTCTTCATGCGAGAAAAGAAGCACAAAGCATCATCCCCACGCCCATGTAATGCTAAGCCATTAATAATGGTATTCCAAGATACCAAATCTTTTGTTACCATGCCATTAAATACGTCAATTGCATTCTCTATAATCCCACATTTTGCATACATATCTATCAAGGCATTGCCAATAAAAATGTTTCCTTGATAACCATTGTTCTCTGCATAGACATGAGCCCACTTACCCAAATCAAGAGCTCCTAATCTTGCACAAGCAGACAACACGGTCACAAGTGTAGCGTCATTAGGATGCACAGCAGACTCACTTAGCATCCTTTTGAAAGCACCCAAAACTTCGGAGAACTGGCCATTATGAGCATACCCTCCAATCAATCCATTCCAAGAAAAGATATTTCTCTCAGGCATCTCCTCAAAAAATTCCTCACACCCCTTAACATCCCCATTGTTTGCATAACCATTCAACAAAGTATTCCAAGACATCAAATCTCGGTTCGGCATCACATTGAAAAGCTTCCGAGCAGCCACCATGTCCCCACATTGAATGTACCCGGAAACCATAATGTTCCACAGTACAATATCACGCTCTGGTGCCAAATCAAAAAGCCTCCTTGCAGAAACTACATCATGGGATGAAATATACCCACTAATCATACAAGTCCACGCAACAACATTTCTCACAATCATTTCACCAAACATCTTATAAGCACACCCAATTCTTCCTCCACTTGAATACAACTCAATCAAATTGGTTCCCACAAATGGGTTCAATTGGAAACCAATCTTCCATAGAAAACAGTGCAATTTTTCGCCTTCTTGCAAGGCCAATGATAACTTTACACAAGACTTCAAAACCATAGGGAATGTGAAACAATCGGGTCTTGTTATATCCATCCTCTTCATCATGTGATTAAACAAAAGTACCACCTCCTTGTAGAGCTCGTTCTGGACATACACTTTGAACATTGTGTTCCAAACCGCTATATTTGGGTCGGGAATTTGATCGAACACAAGGCGGGCATGAGCCATTTTCTTCAGTCCGGCACATGCTGATACGAGTTTAGAAGCTAAGAATTGGTTGTCTTGGAAACCGTGAGTGATTATCTGGGTTTGTATCTGATAAAGCTGTTTTGGGTTCTTACATGACTGGTGTATGAGTGAGATCAACCGCTCTTCAACAAGTCTGTGAGAGGGTTTTGGGACAAAATTGACGAGTATCTTTGCAATTTTTATCTAGCAGAGAATGAATGACCTTCAGGTCATGAGTGCTATGTTTGTACTCGAAAGCTACAACTTTGTTTAATCTTTAGGAAACAAAGAGTTCAACAACGTGTACTTAAAAGAAGTGCACTGATCTGGTAATGAACATCAGTGATCCACAGTACTTAAAATTGATTTCGCGCTTAATTTTCTTCTCTCTTTCCCTCTTTTGAATTGGAAGTGTTACTTGGTCCTCCTCTAATTTTATTTTGCTTTTTATTATCTTACCAAGAAACTCGCGCAATTTTTTTTATCTTCTTAAGAGATTTGTTATTTAAAAAAAAAACCTCAAAATAGAAAACTTATGCATTCATTTTATAAGTTAATATTAAAAATAATGTATTAAAAGAAGTGCTTCAATTTTTTTTTTTTTTTTTCTTCTCTTTTTTTTTTTTAATTGGTACTCACACACACTTATCTATTCTGAAACTTAAACCATTGACCTCCTAGTAAAAAGTTGATACCGCTAAACCACTGACCCGTTAGTAAATGCTTAAACTTTTGCACTGCCCGTTGGTAAATGCTTGAAATTTTGCACCAAGTAGTGAAAATGGTGCCATTCATAATTGGAGGTTTTTTTTAAAAAATATTTAAACTTAAACCATTGAGCTCTTAGTAAAAAGTTGATACCGCTAAGCCACTGGCCCGTTAGTAAGTGCTTAAACTTTTGCACTGCCCGTTGGTAAATGCTTGAAATTTTGCACCAAGTAGTGAAAATGGTGCCATTCATAATTGGAGGTTTTTTTTAAAAAATATTGATTATATTCTTTCTTTTATTAAAAATATTGATCACATAATTGCCACATATTGTTCATGAAAATAGACTTTTAACCACATCTTGTGTATTTTATTTATTATTATTATTATTATAAATTTACAAATTGCAATAGTTTAGTGGTTTAATAATAAATGGTGCACCATTCAAAAGCTGTAACTTATAGTTACCTTCTCAGTTTTCAAAGTAGAGTATAAATCTCTATAGAGACAATGTGAGTGTAAGAATTTTTTGCCAACAAAAAAAAAAAAAAAAATGGGTGAAGTGCAAAAGAAGAGACATCTATGATATATACTTCTGGTAGCAGTTTGTCCTTTATTTTAAAAAGTGTGCATAATACACCTTTAATGTTTTAACATTGTGCTGAAAGACTCCTTAAACTACCTTTTTGCATAAATTTAACCTACTAATGTAAAGACAAAATGTATTAATACATATAGAAACACACGATTGTAGTGTATGTGCAATGCATTTATTAAAAATAAATTTATAATCTTAGTTAAAATTCATTATATAGAATTATCGTAAAGAAAAAATACTTTTATACTGATAATTTATTGAGCAATTTATTTAGGTAGTTGAAATTTCAATATTTTAAGGAGCTTAAATGGGTTGTCCTCTTGCACAATAGGCATGATTTCAAATATTATAATTCAAATTTTAAGCAAATAGACATAATTGTGGAAGGATTCTAACAAGTGAACAATATAAAACATCAAAAGATAAAAGGTAAAGTTTCAACCAAGCCTAGAGGGCATTAGGTTCATCTATGAGAAACTTATTATTATATCATTAATTTGTAAAATATGTCTAAAAAATTCAAAAAATGCTATAAAAATATATAATAGGCCAAAGAGGGAATCATTCGGTATGTCTACGAACCTTCGCACCCCTTTCCCCCAACTAACCACGCGCGCGTGTGTGTATATATATAAATATATATATATGAAAACTTGGGAAGAATTAACTTCTTATTCCATAGAAAAAAATAACTCCAACAGAAATAAAAATCCTAATGAAATAATGTTAAGCTAGCAGTTCTACATCAATTCCAAAAATCTAGATAAGAGTAAAAAACAGAATCGATATTTGTACTCCTATTTCTACAATTATACTCTAATTTTTTAGAAAATAACATTTTTAATTATACTTTATAAGTAAATGATTTTTTTTTCAAATACCCTTTAAAATATGAAATGAGCTTTTAGCATCCCCTTTCTCTCTCCAATTTTCAACATTTTTGGTCTCCAATGTGCTTTCTTAATCGCCTAATATATTGTTACAATAATATTATAAATTTGCTATAACCCTAATACTATGAATGATAAAAGTATACTTGCATATGAAGAAAAAGGGTTCAAAAAATTTAAGAAAAAAAAAAGAAAAAAGAAAAAAGAAAAAAGAAAAAGAAAGGAAAACACATACACAGTAACACAAACAGAGAGTAAACCCATATAAAGGTGATATCTCTTACATGTTTTGGAATAAATAATATTATAAATAAATAAAAAAATAGTTATTTAGTTCATATAGAAGTTGTAGGAGTCGATATGATGAGAGATTCAAATCATTTGAAACTTTTTATACATTTTAATAGTATATAATAATAATTAATACAGAACTTTTAAGAGTCTAATAGTTTAGAAATTTTGTAGTATTAATTGACTTGAAACTCTTTAACAAGTCCTACAAATGCCAAGAGCTTAGCTTATAAATGAGATTACCAGCACAATACAATATTTATCTCCAGTCATCTCCCAGTCTTCTTAGCTTGATTTCAAGATGTTTTAGACCAACCAATTAAAAGTAAAAATTTAAAATATGTCACATTAATTCACAGTTTATCATTACGAACAACTTAACGGTAAATGTAGTATTTGGAGTATCTTCTTTGGAAATCAATTTTTGAGTCAAAAACAGCTGACAGAAAAGTCCAAACCCTCAAAAGCCCTGTTGAGTGAAACCTAATAAAACCTGCGTACAATAAATACAACCATTTTTTTTTTTTTAATTTTTTTTTTATAGAATTTGAAACGGGATGTAACACTACTATCAACTATTTTTCCGATCATTTTCGATCCCATGTTATGTTTTTCAGTTTCAATATATATATATATATATATATATATATATATATATATATTACTCTCCGTATATTTCATAAAAGGAATTCAATAATAAAAATATGTTTGGTGAACTTTTTGTGATAATTGAAACATTTTTCAGTTGCCAACATTACCCCTTACCTATATATGTTCCTTATACTCAAGCAAAATTATCCAATTAAAATAAATAAAAAATTCTGATAAGTCTTACTTTTAAGGGATAATTACGTATAAATGGGGTTAGGGCTCCGTATTTACTCAGAGGCGGAGTCAAAGTTTCATATTTCCCTAAAATGGATTGCTGACGTGGCACATGAATTATTACTGTTCAAGAAATGTTTTGCCAAAAATGTCCTTCTCACTTTTTTCGGTGTTGCCTAAAATGCCCTTTCTCCATAATTTAATATATTGCCCTAATTCGTTCGGTAAATACGATCTTCTTTGGCCCTAAAAATAAAATTCTCTCATTCGCTGCTCTCTCTCATCGCTGCTCTCTCTCTCTCTCTTTCTCCACGACTCTTTCTAAGCCGGTCCCTCCACCCTCTCTCTCTAGCTTTATCGCTGTAGGAATTGAGAAACCCAGCTCAATTTTCAGTCCAGCTACAATGGGCTCAGAAGAGGGATCAAGGGTTCTCGGTGAGCTTCAAACCATACATTTGTCAGTGCATTTTCATTGTTTCAATTGAATTTTTCTTGTTTTCTTTTTTCGGCTGTAAATTTGGATTGAGTTATGATGATTTGGTGTTTCTTAAGCTTTTTTGTTGTAATGGTTCTTGTTTTTGTGTTTTCTTCTTATTGTAGGCTATTGGGTTTTCTAAAATTAGGGTTTTCTTCCTATTGTAGGCTATTGGGTTTTCTAAAAATAAATATAGAAACTACACAACAGGAGCCAGCTGCAACTCCTTTTTTTTTTCACTCAATTTAATAGGAAAAATGTAGAGAGCGTGATTTTACATCATGGATCGCTGGCACTTATAAAATGTTTTACATAGCACTTGAAAAACAAGAGTTCAAATTTGAGGAGTTGTCACTTAAGAAGCAAGGAATTACTCTTATCGTGCACTATGGTTGGTGTCTCTCAAATTCGTTGTGAATCAGTTGCTCTGTTTCCATTTTATTTTTATTTTTATTTTTTTTTTTAAAGAAATTGTCACTAAAATTTTCTTACTTCATCATCAATCAATTGCACAGAGCACCATCACATCAATCACTACAGACTCAACTGATTGATTTAACTGTCTAACAAGCTATTGGTTGTTTGTGAATAGGCGAGTAATGGTGAGGAGCCAATGAAGCTGAAGCTATATTCTTCCTGGGGGAGCTCTTGCTCTTGCCGTGTTCGTATCGCTCTCAACTTCAAAGGTCTCTCTCACTCTACTACTTTCCCTCTCTAAATTTTGATCAGTCAATTTCTTCTGCCGGTTTCACTTTCTAAAACCCTGATTTTTTATTTGATTTTAGTTAAAAAAAAAATTTTTTTGTTAATTATTGACCATTAGTTATCGCCTCTTTCAACATAGATCTCAAATATGAGTACAAAGCAGTTGATGTCATGAAATGAGAACATTTTAGTCCTGGTGAGAACATACATGGTGTCTCAAGAAATTTCTTGTAGTATTTAGGCTTATTTATATGATGATAAAGTATGATATTTATAATAATTAACATATTGGGTGTCTGGCATTAATGTTACACTATGGACATTCAAACTTCAGAATTCATTTTTTGTTCACACATTATGATCAGTAACTTTTGTTGGTGGTGGATAATTTATCAAAGAAAGTTACTTTCAGCTGGAAATAGACATCAATTTAAAGGAGAAGTCACCCTCTCTTGAAAAGAGTCATAAGCTCTCTTCACTGGCTATTGGATTGAGAAAAATATCGTAATTTGTGAATGTAAAAACACAGTCTGAGAATCTTATATCAGTCCTATCCATAAAGAGAATTCATGGCTCTTGTCAACTGGAGATCTTTGGATAGCTTTACTATTA